CTTTGGAGAATTCCTAAGAATTCCGATTTCTCGTTCCCAAATCCTGGAGATTAGTATCTGTTGGCAGTTTGGAAACCATTGTTTCAGAGTCCTCATGCAGCTTTGGAAGCAGTCTAACTGCTGGAGTATAGGGATCCTTCAGCCCTCTGGTGCACAGGAGAGCTCCCTCCACCCACTTCTTAGTTGTTTCTAGAGTGGTGTTCATTTATACTTTTATTTTTTTTCCAAATTGGATTTCTGAGTCTGAAGTAGGATTTCTGGAAACAACGGCCTGTTATATTACTGTTGTTTAAAACAACACACTATTTTTGTCTTCTCATTAGTGCAGATACATTTTCAGAAATAAAAGAAAGTTCTAAAGGTCCACATTAATACATTCACTATGTGCTGAGCAAGTCCATGTGCCAAGGGTCAACCGTATTTCTAAGTACCAGGAGCACAAAGATGATTAAGACTCAGTCACTGCCCGTGAGGAATTCATAGTATATTGAAAACGATAGACACAAAAAGAACTGCTTCACACTACAGTGAATATCACAGTTGTATCTGAACAAGGTATAATGTTGGAACAGTGTTCTGGTTAATTCTACTTGGGGTGAGAGTCACAGGTTCAGGAAAGACTTCACAGAAGGCAATTAATTTGAAACTTGAACAAGGAATGGATGTTTGCCGTGCAGGTGGAACACATTTGCCCAGTCCCACCGATGTGAATTTGCATGGCGGGTGGGAGAGACATACAGTGGTGGATACGGCTGGCTGGAGATATGAGGGTAGATACGATAGGACGGAGTGGTAGGGGGAGGTGGTGTGGGCAGGACGAGGGTGGTGTCCAGGATGGGCTCCCAGGCTTCTAGTCTGGGTGCCCCCGTGTGCTGTTGGAATAATAGTAACCTCTTAACCTTGGTCAAGTTTAATCAAGGTCCTTGCTTGGAAACTAGTCAGAGAGCATGTCCAGAAGCAAACACTGGGCCCCGGTGGAGTGGGAGTGCAGCCCGACCACCTGTGGAGCGTCCCAGCAGGCTTCCTGGGGAGCTCATGTTTGAGCAGGGCCTTGAAGAAAGGAGGATGGAGGAGAGAGATGTGGGTGGGAACGAAGGCACGCCAGGTGGAGGAAAAACCCACATGATGGCACAGAGATCCTTGTTGGGCTCCGGGAAACAGCAGAGGGTGGCTGGAGCAGAAATTGATAGTGGTCATGTGTGTGTGTGTGTGTGTGTGTGTGTGTGTGTGTGTGTGTGAGTGCCTGTGTATGCAGTATATCGGGGAGGGGAGCAGAGCAGAGCGGACAGTGAGCCTGTGAAGGTAGGCAGGGCAGGTAAACACCCAGACTTGGAGTGTAGATCACAGGACGTGGGGAGAAGATGGGGGTTTTAATCATGGGAGTCACATGATCAGATTTGTACTTAAGAATCATTCGCCTGCGTCAAAAACATAAATTCCGGGAATTTAGGTAGACTTTGTAAAAAGACTGATAACAAGCCGTTGAACAAAAGGAGTGAGAAACGCCAGTGATCTGCTGATTATCTGTCTTCCCTCCAGCAAGGAGGGCTTGTAGGTTGGGATTGTCCATGTGGTGCCATCAGCCTGTGGGAGGTGTGGCTGCCCCTCAGCACCAGCCGGGCTGGGATGGAGTTAGGGCCTGCTGGCCAGCGGGAGGGCTGACAGGACCTGCCTCCTAGAATAAGGTGCTTGTGTCCCCCAGTTGATGAATGTCCGTAACATTAGGCATAGCAATCCCATCAACACACCTTCATCCGATTTCACTCTTCATTGACTCAAGAATGGACGTATCTTGAGTTAGAAATCTTAGCCCGTTGCCTAGCCTGGGTTGGTTATTTTTTATGATATGCACTGAACTGTGGGGGTTGAAATGCATGCACAGTAGCCAGGGACACTATGCCTCCTTGGCATAGACATGACTTTACATTCTCGGCCTCTGGACAAAGAACTCAGAATTGGGTGCCATCTCCACTACAATCCCACCTAGTTGAGGTAAGGAACATCTGGGTTTGCCCCAACCTAACAGGTATGCTTGCTTCATTAGAATTGGGAAAATTCGGAATGGCTTGGCCTTTTTACCCACGGCATCCTAGGAGAGGTCAAAGGTGGTTCTACCTGGGCATGATCCATGAGCACCTGACATCAGGTATACTGAGCCAGGAAGAATGTTTCAAAGGAGCTTTATTTGTAAAACTGAACCCTGGTAATGAAAGTACAGATGCCAGAATAAGGGACTGAAATGGCCCCAGATCAGTACCGTGGTTTCCTGGACAACTTCATTCGACAAATATATGATGTAACTTGGCCATATTTCTCTGTGACACTGGGTAAAATACTTCCTCTCTGTGTCTTTAATTCCTCGCTTATAAAATAAAGTTGTTGGATTTGAGTAGTTTTAAGGTGTTTTCTGGTTCTGAAATTCTGTGATTTTGTGCTGTGGTCAGCACATAGGGTCCCTCACCCCTCACCCAGCAGGGATATCTTGAGCATCCGGAAGCACCAGGCCCTCCTAGGAGGCACTGGCAGCCTCACCTCCCTGCCTCTCCTTAATGAACTTACCTTAGTGGTGAAGTTCAGGTCCAGAGACAGAGATGACTTATTACTAACCGGTGATTGACAGCTGGTTCTATTTTTTTCTTCAAAGCCATTGGCTCAGTGTTTACTTCTCCCTTGCCTGCCTTTGGCTAAGCTCCGTTAGGCTTTTCTCCTCTGGGGCATCATTGCACATGGTTACGTCTGCTCCAGCAAAGCTGCCTACTCTTTGGACTTTATAGCCCCTTTCTGGGAACTCATAACAAGCATTGCTTTAGCCGTGGGCATGCACACTGGGGACTCACCCAGGAGAGGGGCTGCCAGATGCTGGAACTTTTTACTGCATTTGTGATTCATTATCAGTTTCAGACAATCTGCTGTGCGAATGATGATGAATGTGTGGTGTCCTGCTGAAGGAATCATGTACTCTAAGATTAACCCCGTGCTGACAGCCCGTTCATCCACTGCGTGGAGTCCCACCCACCAGCCCTTTGCCCGTAGTCTGGAAAAAACCCTGCAAGAGTAACAAGTATGTTTGGTGAAGGATAATAAGAGAACTCGTGTCCGTGTTATTTAGGAATGCAAATGACAGATTTTTTTTTTGAATTCCAGACAGAGGGCAAGGCCAAGGTAAGGAGCTGCTGTAGGAGCAGTGAGGTGTTGGAGAGAAGGCCCCCAGTGACACGCATGTGGGTGCTCTGAAAGGATTTTCAGGCTAGCAATCTAGGTGGGACTGAGGTGGGCTGAAGAAGAGAGATGCATCCCTGGACACTCTGCCGCTGTGTGGATACTGTCCCAGGTCTCGCCGCCAATCAGCTCCTTGACCTTAGGCGGCACTTCTGCCCTCTCTGATCTTCAGTTTCCCCCATTAGTAAAGCAAGCAAGTTGAATAAGGGGGTCTCCAAGGGCCCTTGTAGGACTTTCTTCTTTGGTTTCTTGGTCAGACAGGCTCAGCCCTATGGCCCCAGGCACTGTGCTGGGGGTATGTGCTGATCCTCTTTGATGTCACCCTCCAAGTCGTTTCTGCAAACAGACCTTCCTCCTCTTACTGCCTCCCCTAAATTGGTAGAGCAGGTTTGAGGTAGAATCAGAACCACATTGGTGAGTGCTCTTTGCTTCATTACCTTTCTTTTTTGCTCATTTTCCTTCATTTGCAAGAGGGTAGGTTACCCCAGATATCAAACCTGAGTTCCTGAGGGACTGGAGGTTCATTCCTTTTTCCGGTTCCATGAATTCTTTGGAGGAATTAAGTGCCATTCCAAACCTAGGGCCCAAGGACAAAGTCACGTTTCTGTGGCAATGGTAATTTCATTCTGCCTACCCCCATCTATCGGGGCAAATAATAGTTGTAATAATAATAGATACCGTTTTATTGTTTCCTATTTTATAGGCACTCTCCTGAGTACTTCAGATACAGCAGCTCGCTTAATCTCCATAATATCCACTGGAAGTAGATTCTATTTTCCCCTGTTTTACATAGGAGGAAACTGGTATTGACAGGTTTAAATGTCTTACCAAGATTACACAGTGTGTAACTGGCAGGACTGAGATTCGAACACGTGCTCTCTGACTCCAGAGCCTCGATGCTAACCACCTTGCAGGACAGCGAGTGCCAAACATTCCAAGGGCACAGTAATTACGTGATTGATGGGCAGTCCAGAGACACGCCCAGGGCCAGGGCTGTGGGAGTCGCTCTCGGCGGTTTGCTGGGAGAGCAGCTTCAGCCAAGAGAGAAAGGGTGGCAGTAACTGCAGGCCTTTATTTTCGTGGTTTATGATACAGTGATGGGGTTCCTTCCGTGGACATCAGCCATCCTAATAGCGCTATTTATCATTATGACAAAGGTGAGGATGAGGGGCAACTCGAGCTGGAATGAAAGAGTAGAATTCTGATTATTTTAACAGTTGAAAGTGACATCACCTCGAACCTCTATCAAATGGTGAATTGGAAACCGGACTGAAATTGCTTTAAAATATATCCAGAGGTAGTTTTCTACAGCTGTGATAAAGTCTTTCAGCTGTGCATGGAGATGCATTTTGTCTCCAGTGCTCACGGAGTCGCCTGTGTGTCGTCCAAGCAAAAGGTGCCTGAGAGCCCAGCACAGCCTGTCTCAGGTGCTTGCCGTGGTGTGCCGCGTAGGCATCGGGGCTGGTTAGGCCGTACTCCCCCACTGGGTTGTTTTTTAATGTTTTGTAAATGTCTTTCCATGTCAATAAGTAATGTTTTTAATGGCCATATGGTTTCCCTTGGTCCATCTGGGGGTCGAACCTGGGCTTCTAGGACAAAGTCCCCTACCTCCTGTCAAGGAGTTGGAGCAAACGAGACTGCTGGCTGAGGGGCCCTCTGAATTCTCCGCCTGTTTGACTAGCCTTTATTTATTTATTTGGCCTTTGATTCTGGGAACTTAGAGGAAAGACCCATAGTGTCTGGGAGGTTTGATTAACTTAGACCTTTTTTCTCATCCTTAGGCAAAAGAAAGGGAACGTGGCCCACAAACACTGGGCTGGACCTTCGAGCTTGGTCAAGTGCAAGCCCTGTCCCGTGGCACTGTCGCCCATGGTCTGCGGCTCCGACGGCCACACCTATACGTCCAAGGTCAGTCGTCTTTGTTATCTTTTTGGTCATCAGAGATACCCCATGTCGGCTTGTCCTGCCAAGTCTCTACGCCAAAACCGGGGCTTGCAAAGCTTGCTGGGCTCCAGGCCTTGCCTCCGAGAAGCTGCTGCATGAATAGACTGGGAGATATTCTCCAGCCAAAGAGACGAGCAGGATAGAAACGTTCCATCCTGTGTAACTGGGCTGGTTGAGGGAAAAGGGGAAAGGGTGGTTCTGAGAGTGGCCCTGAAGCTGATCTCGACGAGCTTCCTGCAGAAGGGGAGACAGAAAGCTGTTCAGAAGAAGCAAGTCATGTGGCGTGGCTGACGGGGGCGAACCGGTGAGGGAGGCCGGGGACGCTGCTTTGTGGGGAGCGCAGCGGAAGGAAGGAGTGTGACGTCAGTGTGCACTTAGTCTGTGCTTACGGTTCGGACAGCGCACCCAGCCCTGCGCAGCCTGCAGACAAGGCACTGCTTCCTTCTCAGCGTGGGGTGGGGCCTCTGGGGCTCATAGCCTAACGGGGCAGGGACGAGTATGGAGACAGGTCATTTTAATTCAAACCAGTGGAAAGAACACGGTTTGGTAGAGAAAGAGCTGGAGTCAAGTGGGTCTGTTTATTACAGGAGGGATGAGGAGAAGCTTCACGGAGGAGAGGCGTTTCATCTGGGCTCTGATAACAAGACTTACAGACAGGGAGGCCGGGATCACGGTGGTAGATAAAGGAGGTGGCTCTGCTCTTGGAATTTCACTCTACTTGGGATAAAGTTGTCCATTTGTCTTTGGGAATGGGAACATAATGATGAATTAAAGGGAAACCACAGAACTGGAATTTGCTTGTTCGTTCTCTTATCTAACAGCTATAGACCAAGTACCCTGTTAGGGTCTGACACTGCTCAGCTTGGAGGAGCTGGTGTGCGGGTATGTGTTCTAGGGGTTTCCTCTAAGCCGCCAGCCAGAGCGGCTCCACTTTCCTCTGTCTTCTTGTTTTTCCATGTAAGGTTTCACTTGTAGGGCGGAGTCTGTGGCTAAAGAGAGTTGCTTTTGGGGACGCCCTGGTCACTCCCAGTGACACTGCCACATAGTTCTCAGGCCTTTCTGCTCGGCCCCTCTTTGCCGTTCCCCACTGCCCAGATCGTTAGTGGCTCTTGTTGTCCGTGATGCCCTCACCACCCTGCCCCGGGAGCACCCTCACTGCCTGCTGTCCCCAGAGGCTTATTTAGGTTATTTCGAGACTAGGGCCACTTTTCCCTACTGATTATGTGATGTACAGGTCATATATTTTTATATTTTTATTCTCCGACAGTTTTAATCTTCCAGGTGTTCACATGTTCTAACAAAGGAGAACGTAGCTCACAAAACAGGAGGCTGGACAGTGTGTCTGGCTTGTGCTCAGACCCATGGAGTTGGCTTTTGGAATTCAGTGGCATCATTATTGCTTGATCGGTTCCTTTGTTCATTCATGTAGTATCGTTTGGGCCCTTTCTATGTTCCAGGCATTGTGCTGGGTGCTGGGGAAACTTAGAGTGGGAATTTAAAAGCTGTCTGTTCTTCATTGCCGGAGTCGGTAACCCTTAACCTCCCAGCTCCAGACCGGCCCTGTGAGGTGGACGTGCTCTGCTCACGGTCACAGCTGGCTAAATAGCCACAGCCCTCCTCAGCGCCGCTCAACCCGCACTTCCCCTTCCCCTTCCCCTCCTTGATCCCCGATAGAATCAAAGTCTGAGATCGTTTGTAGCAACAGAGCTTGTCCCTGATGCCCTGAATGTGTCTGGAGTGCTGGATTTGACGGGGACACTGAGGAATCATTTCTACCCCCCTTTCCCAAAGGCAGATCAGGCCGTGGCTGTCTTTCACGCCGGGCCCGGATCCCAGGCGTGTGAGCAGACACCCGGGAATCCTGTTCAAATGAGGACTCTGATAGAGCAGGTCTGGGGCGGGGCCTGAGATTCTGCGTTCCTAAAGTGCCCGGGCGGTGGCCGTGCTGCCGGGCCACAGACACACCGTGAGCAGCGAGGACTTCAGTTTCATAGGTGCCTCCTACTAGGTCTCCAGGCGGCCCCTTCCCCTACCCGCAAAAGTCCATTTCCACTTCAGAGAAGATTGTATTCCGTAATAAAGTCCGTGTGTCTCCCTGCGTGAAATGCCCGTTGGCTTTCCCTCGTTGCTGGAGCTGAGCTCAGACTCTATCGTTACTCACAAAGCCCTCCAGAGCCTGCCCCTTCCTACCTCACGGTCCCTTCTCATAGAAAGGACCTTCCATTCGTTGCTTCAGCAGCTGTCTCTTCCACGCCCACAGCTGTTCCAGGCACTGTGCAAAATGTGGGGAGGGGGCCGTGGGGAGCAAGACAGACACCGTTCCTGCTGGCTTGAGATCGCCATCTGGTAGGGGAAAGAGAAATACATCTGTAACCAAGCAAATAAATATGCAATTTCAAATTACAGTAGGTGCTACGGGGCACGGTGTTGAGGGAGGGGCGGAGAGGGGCCCGTGCTGTGGGGATGGTGCGAGGTGAGATACAGCACGGCTGGGGCAGCGAGGCAGCGGGAGAACTGAGAGGAGGCCCCTGCGGCTCTCGGCTCTCGGGGGGAGGGGAGAGGCACATGAGTCGATGGGGAGAGGGAGGATGGTTAAGAGAGGACATTTAGCCAACCTGGAAGGTGACAAGAGGGTCCGGCAATTCCTCGCTTGTGGGACACTCAGTACAGCAATTGCCTGAAGAACGTGGGATCCCAGAGGCACAGACAGTGTCCGTCACCTCCTTCACCAGGCATGGGGCACAGTGCGCAGTGAGTGGTACTCAGCAGGCGGCACTGATGGGAGAGGAGCCAACAGCGACTCCGGCTGCGAGGAGCCGGGAGGCTCCAGTCTGCAAAGCCCACCCTGGATTTGAGTGAAGGGGGTGGGGAGAGCTTTGCTGAGAAAAACAAGCCATCCCCGTCCTGTGCCAAGTGGCTTAGCTAAAACCCCAGCCTGAGGCTCTGGCAGAGAGTTAGCAGCGTCTCGTAGTGCTTCTCTCTATGTGAACATCCTGTTTGTGCTGTTCAAAATTATTTCCGCCAGCTCTGGAGTAAACTGTCTGATCCTCGAGCCTGAGGTTGGAGATGAGCCACGAGATGTCAGCGAGCGGGTGGGACTGTTGGGGCACATCGCACATCAAACCCAGCAGAGCCTGCCTGCTCGCCTCTGGGTCTTGCTCGCAGAGGGGGCTTAAACGCTGGCTCCCCCGACCCCGAGCTGCAAGGAGCAGTGGTGACCTGTCGGAGACGGCCCGGAATGCTGTCACTTGCCCAGGGAGTGTCTCTGGGAATGTTTGCTGGTCAAGGCGTCCCGGCAGTCTGGGCAGGAAAGTTGGTTTGTTGTGTTTGGGAAGGTCGCCTACGTGCAGGCGCTGGCGGAGAGCTGGCTTAGGAGGCAGGATCAGGATGCAGAAGGCCCCTGTGCAGTGACTCCTGATGCCCTGCAAGAGGAGGGACTGCTGTATACTGCGGGGCAGAGCCCTCAGAGGCCCTCCTTGGCAGCATCCTGATCCTCCTGTAGTGTCTTTGAATTTCTGTACCAGCAGGTCCTCAGTTTCCTGGACCTGCTCAACTCTTTCCTGGAGCAGAAGAAACCTAAAGCCTTTGTATCAGAAATTGTCGTGTTCTTCCCCTATACTCCATATGAGGTACACTGAGGCCCAGCGAGACAAGGCCAGTGGCTATTTGAGAGCCGTGGTCTCCTGCCTGGGTGTCTGTGAATCTACTCCCTTCCGTCTGAAGTTAAGGAGAGGGGTGGTGGGAGAGGCAGCACTGCCATGGAAATGGGTGTGTGTTGGTCCTTCCCATTCGTGTGCTAGTCTTCTGTCTCGTGAATTTCTAGAACATTTGTGTTCTTAATAGGTCAAATATGTCTCACAATCAGAAGCTGTATGTTGATTGTTCAAGATGTCTGAAGCAGAGGACAATTCTAAATGCTTGTGGCATTCGATGAGCCTTCCTTCCAAGGAGGAGATTTCAGTCTGGTTGGGTTTACTACCGGAGTGTTTTAGGTATTGCCCCTAAATACGTGGCCACTTGTTGATGGAGGTTCAAGAGAATGTTTTGGTCTGACAGACAGAGCTGTTGGAGACCACCAGCAGATGCTCAACTAGTAAGAGTGAATGAGTTAACTGTGAGTGAACAAATGGCCTTTTTTTGATCATTGGTGGCAGGAAACAAAGGATAGATGAGACCATGATGCATGCATAATCGGAGGGGATTTCATGTCATGACGTCAAACTCGTAAAAATTCGTTTCAGCAAAAAATATATTGCAGCCCCAGCCTGTCATCACCAGGGAAACCCCCACCCTATAAGAAATAGTCACGGTTCTCTAGGCGAATTGCTTGACCCTCCAAGAGGGGGTCGAAGGCTGCGGGAGCATTGTCGGGGAAGCAGGAGGAGGGAGCCTGAGCATCAGCCTGTCGTTAACGCTGAATGTCTGTCCTGGGGACAGAGCAGACAAGCTCTCCTCCTGCTTCTGGTCTCCAAACAGTCAGAGGCTCCTAGAACTGGGGGATGCATTTGGGAGCCATCTACAGCAGGCCTCTTCCCATGTCCTGACACCAGGGACACCACTCAGAGCTATGTGACTCCCCCTGGATCAAAGATAAAGTGCACAGAAATGCACAAGTCTTGAGATGAAGGGATAGAAGATGGCACATGGCAATAAATGTGTATTCAGACGCTATAAAGCATAACCCATAAAACATAAGGAACAGAAAGGCACCACAGGGAGTTGACAAATGGAAGGCCAACACTGCAGCTGGTTTGAGAGTGTGGTATAGATGCTGAACCTTGACCTGGCTTCCAGGCAGTAAGGATCACCCTAGTCACTTCTTACCTACCCTTAATGTCACATTTTACTGGCCAGGAAACTTGAAGTAGTTCAGTAATTTAGTCAATATATATTGAGTTCTTTCTTACTCTGTGCCATGCATTGTGCTAAATAGAGCAAAGGGCAAAGCAGACAAAGCCCCGAAT